GACTACATTAACCGTTTAACTGCTTTAGCGACCAACGAGATTCGTCGTAAAGATTCCTAGCTCGATTTCATAAAAATCGATGCCATTCGTTGCACATAGGTCAAGGTGGAAGATTATTTTGATATTATTCAATGTTTTAGCTTCAAAGCAAATGTAAATTGGTAACAACAAAATGAACTTGAGGAGCATGTTGCAAAGAGAATATACTGTGGAAATTGCAGTGATGGAATTGTTTACGTCAAATTGGTGAAGATTTCTAGCTGGATTTAATATAAATCGATGCCATTCGTTCCACATAGGCCAAAGTGAAGGATTACAGATTTCTATATTAGTGTTTTTGGTTTAAAGAAAATGTGCATTTGCAACGAATACAAAATTCTTTGAAATTTGTTAAGACTAAAATGAACTTGAGTATGTTGCGAAGAAAATGTACTGTGACAATTGCAATAATAGAATTTTCTTCTTTTGGTTCGTCGAAGAGTTGCTGACAATTGTTAACATCATGTGACATATTTTTAATCATGATCAAAAAATGTCATTTGTTGGATAATTCAATTTTAAAAGAAAAATGTATGAATTTTTGTATTTCTATCGTCATAACTTAGAATTAAAAACAAAAAAAAATCGATCCAACGACTTTGAAACTTTTATGTTTGAGAATATTTTTTATAGGAACGGTTGAGAGATAGCAGCTAATATTCTAGGGTTTGTACGTTAAAAATATTAATTTATTCGATATCTAGGGCTAATATCTGCGAAACGTTCTCTATAATTTGATGATATTTAAGACATTTTGAATATTTTTGTAACAGTAAGAATAAATACAATACTTTTCTTGTCTTTGGTTGACGAGCTGAATTTTAAAAGCCATGTTTATTAACTCATTTTTAGTTTTATTCTCACGAATATGTTTCATCTCTATAATTCGAAAAGTTTTTGCATTTTCGGTTCAAAATTGGCCAAGTAAAGAACGACTAAACCAAAAATGTATATTATACCGTGTTATTAAACAACAGAGTCCAAAAACGTTATAATTTATCATACGACGACATGTACAACTTGAATGCGACCATTTGCACGATAATTCATCTAACGACGCGATTATATTTGACCGCAGCACTGCTCTATTACAAAACCTATCGTAGTACAAATTGGAATGTATAGCTACTTAAAAAATTGAGTGTACACTTAAATTTTATTATCAAATAATGTAGAATTCTGTAATTTCTTTCGTTCGTGTGACTTTATATAAATTCTTATATTGTCCGATTAATGAGCTTCTCAAATCTTGTCTTTGTTCTTTATTCATCGAGAAAAATTTATCGTCAGATTTGTTTACCTTTACTTTGTGACCGATCAGTTGTTAAAATTAGTAAATGCTGTATATCGGTAAAATGAATATCTAATTTTGTATTTTATGTTCAAAATGTCGGATAATTTAACCCTGGAAAGATAAATGTTAATACAGAGGTTACCACTTCATAAAATGAAGCGATACAATGTATCATAATATTTTTTTAACAATTTTCCCTGACAGTGTTGAAATCTTCAACTTGTTTTTGCTAAAGAAAGCATTATTATTCAGACTGATTCAGATAACAGTGATAAGTCGTGTGTGTTATTCAAACTTAATTAGAAAAGAATTTTATTGGAGAACAATGAATTCCTTGAAAAGAATTACATTTTCAAATTTTTCTTCTCGGGAATATGCTTCATCCCCAAGTAAGTACATTAATGCATACACATTTCACATTTTTATTATTTTCCAGGAGGAAAACGTGTCTTTTTTTGAAAACAGATATATTAACGTACAATGGCAAAAAAATGATAAGTTCGTGAAATATTCGAAATAAGTATCTTTATCAAAAAATACGCACAAACATTTCATGACAATGTTGAAACGCTTCCGTCACGTCTTCGTTATGTTCATAACAAAAAAGCGGATATGAATATGTAAACATTTCATCGTCGACGATGCATAATGAATTACCATAAAATATCTTCTTAAGAATCTTTTTAACCTTTCCCATCCGCTTCCAAACCTCAATTAATATTCATTTTTTTCCTTCATTCTGATTTTAATTTGAATCCTGATCATAATTTCTTACCGTGTATTAAATATAGAATAGTAATAAATTTAGATAACCCCAATTAGCTATTAATTATTATTAAATAAAGTACATATTGCTATTAAATTATTGATCTTTAATCTAGCTTAACTGTTTAAGAAACATATCAGATTAAAATTTAAAGAGTCAGTAGAAACAAACTGATTTAAGCAGTCTTGAAGATTTACTACAAAGTTCAATATTCTTTTATAAAAAAAAGAACACAAGAATATTTTCGTTTACCCTTTAATTCAAGTAAACGAAAATACTTTCATTTATTGAAAGAAGATTTGTAATTGGTATAAAACATAATTACTGATTAATAAAAAAAGTTATTTAAAATATTTCACAGATTAATCATTTTTACCTTCCCTTGATACTTCTTTATGCAGAACGAGAAGAGTGGACCTGTGCGAAGAAAAATGTTTGTTACCGTTAAAAAAAACAATATAATTGTAAAATGCACGTGCATTGCTGTACTCGTGAAAAAATATCGTAGTGTGCGTATAGTCATTTCTAACACGTTCATCTTTTTCCTGGAATAGTTTCTTCTAATAACAGACAAGAGATATGCTTGGTTGAAGTTACATGAGTCACCTTGTAGATATTCACTAGTAACGTACGAAGACCGTATTCTTCAATTTAGATCGATTTTGCATTCTATAGATACATTTATCCACGTTAATTACTCACTCAGGAAACGCTTATAGCTACGAATCAACTGAATTACTCTTTCGTACACAAATACGAATCAGGTCCATAAGTTCACGTGTAAAATAAAATGTCTGCGTTACCTTCGAAATATATCAACAAAATATACAGAACAGTTTTAAATATATTTACTACTGTTAATAAATACTTCTCAATAAAAAGAAATTTTTTTAAAGGATATATTTAATCAATGTAAATTCGTATTCCAATAATACTACAATAAATCTTCAATGACAAGTCGAAAATCTTATGAGAATGTATAGAAAGGATTACCGGAAAAAATGGCAGATCTAGTCTTATAAAAACGTGCTCCTTTCAAATATATTGCACGACAAATTCCATCTACTGAAACTGGGAGCGTCGTTCTAACGCGTGCGACACAGGTGAAAAGATTTAAAATGCAAATTCGAAAAAGTGTTGCCATTAAATAAGTTGGATATGACACGTGCAAGAACGTAAATAGCGCCATAACTCGTTACCGATTACTCATTACGTAAAATGGAAGAGTACGAGTCATTAATATTTATATTTGTATACTTCAACAACAAGAAACGTATAAACATAGGAGCACGATAATCATTATTTACTTTACTTACGTTATTGTTGTGTCTGATGAACCGACGACCTGGCGTTCCTTCTTTCAAATTAATCGTTGAAACTACTCGATAATGGCAATGAATAGTAAACAATATTTGTATAGTGTGTTACACTGATGGAAATGGTCACAATAGAACGCTACATTCAATGTTCATGAAATGCACATATATGTTCGTGAAGGCACTGAACAATCAGTTTACCTTTTCGAATGTTTTTGCGTGTAGGTACAATAAGGCCACTGTGATCACTTCAACGGTACATCTGAGGCAAGCTTGCATGCGGTTAATTAGTCGGAGGCCACGATTTCGTATCAATGGGACAAAACGTAAAATCGAATTATCTGAATAATCGTGATGCACTAATTGTCGGAACACACCGCACGAAAATTTTCCAGCGTGCTGAAGCGTGCTGGAGCGTGCTGTTAGCCACCGACTGTCACTACACATTTCAGTCACGATGCGTGCGGGCCAGGATCGTAGCCACCATCTCGAGAGCCTGCGTGCAACCTCGCGAGCAAAGTCCTCGGATTAACGTGTCATTAAATGCGATTAAACGTATACGAATCGATTGGAAAAATTTACTACCGGCATTCTGCCGTCTTATATACGTCTATACGATAAAAGGATAATTGAATTTTATTAAATTATATTAAATTTAATTTTTCGAGTAATTACGTTTATTATAAATTAGACAAAATGATCTATCTCACGAATTTTGTTTGTTTTTCTTTATTAAGTATGCTTGATAATTTTTTAAATTAAAGAATAGATTAATTCGCGTAATTTATCGTCTCTAGTCATTGCTATATTTCACGTTGATTCATCTGAGGAGTAACGTATTGATCGGAAAGGTTAAATGTTTCATATTTTCAGCAACAGTGAAGCTGTTATTATTGTAAACAAGATGATCTTTCGGCAAGTGCTTAAATAATGCAAAACCTTTTACCCATGACCTTAAAATTACTGAAAATAAGGGAAACACGGAGCATTGAACATGATTGGTCGAACAGCGTGGTGGCGATGGGAAGCTCGCAACACGACTGGCGCAGGCTCGCGTCTGTCGATCTTCTGAAAATCTATACTACACGACCGACTGCCATTGGTGCGTTCTTTGATGTTTTAATAAACTAAACATTGCTTGCCAGCTAGAGCAAATGTTGAGACAAGCCCATTTATAGGCTTCAGGTGTTGTACTCCGAATAATTGGTTCACTAGATAATTTATGCACACCCTGTAGACTTACAACGTCATAGGGCGTTTTTTGAAATTTTTTTCAATATTGCAACGTAATTGTTATTCAACTTGCATGTTCAACTTTAAAACATTTTCAAATGAAAATAATATTTATTAAAATATTTTAATAGAAAATGCAAACCAATTTCAATAATGACTACGTGTTATTTACGTTTTACTGATAATTATACAGTATCTTCATAGAATTTTCATATCACATATATTTTAGAAATATATTCTGTCATTGGATGTACAATAAACAGTATACCAATGATAAATGAAAACACTGTAATTAATATCAATCAAGTAAATACAACGAGTATTTTCTTTTTTTTGTTAACGTACGTAGCTTTATTGCATTAAAATAATATTATATTACAGTTTGCACTAATTTCTTCTAGTCGTGGATCATGCAGATGTGCATTCAAAAATTATCACCCTCGGAAACTAACGGTTTTAATTGTTTAAAAGGATTACATAGCTATCCATATATCGTACACAGAAATGAATAACCATCGTATCAGCCGGTTTTCACGATTCAATTAAAATCAAAATCACTTTCCGTGTTCGAAACGTTTCGTTCGATGGTGCTATCTGTATCAGAATCCAGCAGAGATTTTATCACATCCTTTTTCTTCTTGGGCTCATTTTTGGAAGCTACTTTCTCGCTTTGATCCTCGTCACCTTTCTCCAGGCTATCCTCTTTTTCATCACTTTTTGATTCTACTTGAGGTTCTAGATATTCCTGATTGTCTTCCTGTTCCGTTTTGTACTCCTGCTCTTCCGGGACTTCCGGTTTGCTAGCCTCGTAATCTTGATTTCCATCTGTTACGTACTCCTGATTAGCATCGTATTGTTCATTATAAGGATACGAGTATTTCTGATTCTCTTCCTCCTGATATTGTGCGTTAGGGTCCTGTTCGTACATGTTCGCAGGATCGTTAACGTATTGATCGTATTGCTCGCCCGCATAACCTTCGTACTGTTCATTCGATTCTTGCGGATATTCCTGGTCAGCATATTCCTGGTACTCTTCCTTTTTATCATAGCCGTACGACTCGTTCTGATCATAATTATATTCCTCGTTTATGCCAGGATACTCCGCTTCATTCGCGTGGACATAATCTTGCACCTGATCGTGCCCCTCATAATGTTGATCATTTTGCTCCTCTAGCGTTGCAATTATTTGCTCGTTATCTTCGTTTCCATCGAGCACAGGCTTCATTTCAGATTCTTCTTTCTCATCGCCTTCGTAATCCTTTTGTTCGTCGAATTCATTGCTCGATTCTACATTGCTTGATTCTACATTTTGAACAATATCCTCTGTATTCAAACAGCGTTCATCTTCCTGCTCCGGTCCTTGATACTGCGAAGCAGGAATCGCATCATCTACGTCCTCCATTCTGATTTCGTCAGTGGCATCATTTAAAATTACTTCTTGCGCATTAATATAATCCCCGACATTTTGCTCGTCCAGTTGATTGTGCGCAACGTCCTCGATGTCTGGTTCAATTTGCATATTATCTTCGATTAATGGGGGCTCCTGGGAAACCAATTCTTCTATCGTGGTTCGCTCTTCAGTGTCCCCGATTAAATCTATTTCTTTGATTTGTTTCTCGACGTCGCTCAAATTCCACGGTTCCAGTTCTTCGGTGGGACCGAGCAAATACTGTTCCAGTTTCGTCTCTTCCGCCATGCGATACCCATTTCCTTCCGCGGAACGAACCGAGTCATCATTCTCTGTCTCGAGCGAAGATACCGCGGCGTGAGCGCCGTCAATGAAGCCGGCACGCTGATTTTTCGGCATTTCAATATTTTCATGCGAATCTAATTCTGGCCGGGGTAACGTAATATCCTCGCTAATTCTGTCTTCCGCACGCGCCATTGATGCGGCGCGTCCTTCGCGCGCATCCGACATTTCAACATGATTTCTTTCGGGAACTGGCGCGCGGCTTTGCGCAGTCGGAATCAATTCCAGATCGCTATTTTTATCGTCGTCCATTTTTTCCAAGTGTTTTGCGCCGTTCGCGGTCATCGTTCTGGTCACTAGATTCTCCGCTAGAGCCAGGACCTTTTTCACTTCCCTCGTGAGATCTTCGTCTGGTTTGTCTTTCGCGGAACTTGTGTCATTCAATGGCGCCGCGTCGAGCTGACGATTTTCCTCCAAACTTTGCTTGTCTAAGTCGTGATGCAGTTTTCGAATCTTATCGATGTACCTGTCGAACTCATTGTCCGACGTTGGCGATGCATTATCATTGCTTTCTTCCGCGCGGACTTGTCTCGTACTTCTTTGGTTCGCGTTTACGTCGCTCGAATATTTCGGCACAAAATATTCAGGTTGCTTGTTCTTATAGTAATCGTAAGGCTTACTGTATAGAGAATCGTTAAAAGAATAATCCGAGTAATTTGAACGAGGACTCGAGTCTAAGTTCAACGACGGATTCAACAACGGTGTATCAGAGACACTGTACTCCACGATTCTAGGTGTATCCTTGAAACTAACGAACTTCTCGCTTTTAATTCGCGTTTGCAAGTTGTCCAGTGGCGTTTCGTTGCTATGCTGCAACCGATACGATGGACTGATGTGGTACTGTAAAGATGACGTTCGGTTTTGCATGTCCAGAGGATTATTATCATTAATACGAGAAGACATTGCGAAATGCGGCACAGCCCTGACTGTTCGTTGAGTCGAGAACGGATTAAAATGGACGGCCCGTTCTTTTGACAAATTAATTTGAGGGTTTGGCGTTGCGTGTAGAATTTTCAGCTTTGGATCGATTTCAAAGTCGTGAGTAGCAAAACGCAAGTTATTATTGTACGGATGACTTTGTTGGAAGTCTGATAAGTTGGGCAACGACAATTGCTGCTGTTGAACTTTTGGGTACATTTGTAAAGTACTATGGTTATTCGTTTGCTGATTCGTTTTCGACTCTATTGAACTTAGTGGATAATTAGTGGTGTATGTACTTTGCATCGGTTTTGTCGTTTTCGACGGGGAAGAGAAAACAGGTTTACTCGTTTGATAATTCGACCGAAACGATTGTGTCGGTGGAATATTCTTCGGTTCGTGAGGTAATGAATTCCCTCGCTCGTTGACAGCTGTTCTCAGGTACTTATTACTCTTTTGACTCGACATATCATTGGTGTCATCTGCATGTGTCGCACAGATTTGACGAAGATAAGCTTCATAATGTTTCTGGAAAATAATGAGATATTCTATTGGGTTGATGCAAAAGTTTCGACGTTTTTAGTATTTAGATTTAGTTAGTAACTCGCTGGCTAAACCAAAGCTAAGTAAAAACGAAGAATGAAGTGTCCTTTATACACGTTATAATATAGATGTTATTTGTTTCGAAGAAAAAAACTTTTTTATTAACTACATACAAAAAAACGTCAAAACTTTTACGTCAACCAAATATGTTGGTGTATATTTCTTGTCACACTCTTATTTCAATACTATGTAAAGCTTCTCAATTCGTAGTACAATAAAAAGAAAGCTGAAGAAAATAATTATTTGAATGAACTTTGTACGAAAGTAAAAGAAAATATGGTCTTACTTAGTAAAGATATATTTTTACACTAACTTTGCGTACAATAATTAATGTCTCCGATTCAAGTGTTAAGTAAAATAGGAACTCATTTTTCCAGCAAGTTTTACATATATACTACAAATGCAGAAAATTTCCAGCACAGTCATAACAGTACACAGACTGTGTAACAATAAGTAGTTATTAGGAGTAATAACTCCTAGAATAACGAAGCAATCTTTGTGTTAAGCCTACAATTTAGCAATGAGTGCAGTAAAACACCGTTCAGATCACGAGTGGTCAATTAAGTGGTCAATTGAACCTTTAATCCTTTTGACTAATTACTTGCGCTTTAGTTATCATTTCATTCTTTCTGACCCACTGTGCCATACTACGTATATTTCATTTTATCAGCATAATATACAATTCTGGCTGATTAAAATTTGTTAAAATCATAAATTAAAAATTTCGTTTTACGCGCGTTCGTTCCTATTTGTCAGGTTTAAAAGCAATCGTTAAAAAAAGAAAAACTACGCCGAAAGTAATTATTTTATGTAGAACCCCTTACCAAAGATAATGAGTTTTCAAGAGCAAAAAATACAAAAGTTAATTTGAAATCTGTCAAAGCAGTTGCGTCATTTTTGCGGGAAATTCGTCAAACTTGTTTTACCAAGGCTGTCGTTTAAAGAGAAAATTACTTTTTCTCATGAGGAAGAAGAATAAATAAAACTAAATGAATGCTTTCTATAAAATTTTTAAGTAAAGTTATAGAATTGTACCCGTCGAATTTAGTAACTGATAAAAACCGGTGTGGACCTCTTAATGGCTCGTAAACTATTGAGTATCTATATCTACATAGTTACAGTGTTGAGAATTTGTTAAAAAATTGTATATTTGGTATAAACCATGTCATCTATTTAGTACCTCTGATAAAAATATTTTACATCACATTTTAAATTCATTCTAATCTTCCTTAAAAAAGAGTGTACTACGAATCGTGTAAGCTTTTATATTTTCCATATTTGTAGATCGTACTAACATGTTTCCCGTTGTTGTAATTAGAAATATAAAATGTATATTATAATAGTTTTTCCTTTGCAACGAAATTACATTAGTTTCTGGTATAGTTGATATAACGATAAGGGCAAGTGTAAAATTAATTGCGATAAGGCGTTGTGTTTCGCGAGCAGGAAGAAACATATACAGCAAGTGCAAACAGTATTTGCATATGTTTGTTCTTCGCAAATGACTACTAAATGTTTGGACTATATTACCTATTATAATCCACATTGTTATAAACTACAGCAATTTCATTAGAATAATGCTATTCATTATTATGCAATTTCAATGGTTTTTTTTCATGATCAAATAGCAGAAAAGAAAAAGACTCACTCTAAGAATGTTAAGTCTATCCGTTCTTGCTGTCATCACTGCGAGACTATTGTCTACTCTATCCAGTGCTTCTAGAAGTTTATGATTTCGTTCATCCGTCGTACGTTGTTCCTCTAAAAATTCCATGTATCTGAAACGTAGTCGATTTATACATGTATTGTGCCTGAAACAATAATAATTTCTGTCAGTACTCGGTGCGACTTGTCTATCGTTCATGTAAGTAAGAAAAATATTGATTTATAATAGAAATAATATTGATATATTATGTTAATTAACACTAAACGTACCGCGACCGGTCGAATGACCGGTTTTAAAATTTGACTTAAAATTCTGTGTTTTATTAGGTTTATTTAACTTTGTATCAATTTCTGTGTTGTCTGATTAATCACTTTTAAAATGTTTGCATTTCCTTCTATTTCTAATTGCACTAAGAAAAATCGATCATTTGACTTGTTTACTTTTATTTTTTAATCAGTTATTTAACTCCTTACTTTGAAAATAGGTTTGTAGAAAGTGCCGGTACGTTTAGCGTTAAAAAATAAACTATTAAACGCGTTTAACAAACAAAAAAGATATAAAATCTCTTTTCCCAAATTTGCAGTTCTGATAAATTAATCGACCAACTTAAAATTATGACTGCATTAAGAATAATACATTATCATGCAATTTCAGTGAAAACAATTCAATACAATCATATTATTGCTTCATATCCTAATAATTCGTAAAATATTCAAAGTATCATACATCTTTTGGCTCGAAGCCAGAAATAATAAAAAGCATGGAACTAAATGGAAATGTGTCTAGCTTAAGTAAGAACATATTTCAAATGTATCAGATGAAAATTGTGGGTGATAATAATAACGAGAAACGCGGCAGATTTCAAATTTTATTTTACCCCCCAGTGACCTTGAAAAATCCTATAAAGGTCACATTTAATGTTAACGAAGATCTGATTTGTTATTCCACATTCTCGTTGTCGATACGAAAACGTTTCTGACTAAGCAACCTTGCCGCAGTGTACACCGGAGAACGCTACCACCGGCGGATTTCAAATTCGATTTGATGACATACCAATTTGTGTCTCTAAACTAAATTGCACAAACAATAAAGGTAAATGGATTAAGTCGACAATTTGCAGATGATCACGAGTAATCAAAATTTTCTGCGCGCGAAGCTAGGTCTACTGGAGCCAACTCAAATTATCTAAGCGATCGAAGAACATTTTAAGGCATTCGTGAAAGGACACCATTTCGCCGCGAACATAACACATACAAATCTAGTTATACATAGACAAAGGGAATCGCATTGAAAGGAAGACCAGATCTGCATTGCCACGAATTGAGACAATATCTATGCAGTTTCCCCCCTGTTTAAACGATCGATGCTTGTTTACAGCTTGCCTACTTAGTTTATATATACTTACAATAGTATGATATACAATGCATGCACAATAAATTCCGAGACAATGGTTAGGTTCGTGTCTATTACCTTTGATATTTCCTAAAAGTAGGTTGCTTCCGAATCGATACGCAATCTATTAAATACTTTCGTGTTATTATTACGCAAGAAAGAAATAAAATCGATAGCACCAACCGTCGAATAGATCAAAGAATTGTATTACGTCTACGGATATTAATGTATAATAATATATGGGATGTTTATTTAAAATTCAATCCTTATATGAAGCTCCATTTTCAATTGTTACCTTGATAACCAAAATCACAGAATCGCAGTGCAATTTAATTTAAGGAACTCACCTGTTACGAGACTCTTGTAAGAGTACTTTGAATCTTTCTTCTAATCTTATCCTCTCTTCTTCGCTGCAACAGTCGTACAACATCGCAATAATTACGTTAATAATTCGTCATACAGTACCAATCAAGGGGACGCAAGATTTCCTTACCTCTTCCGCAATTTTTCCTGAAGTTCCAACATTTTTTTGTAATAATCACGACTGTCGTAAAACGACGTCATGGTAAGGGCGCAATTTAAATTTTGGATTGAAGAGAACCGACGCGTCGATTGTCTCGACTTTCAATGCGTTGCGGGCGATTTTATTTAAATAAAAGCCTTCTCAACGAAATTTTCATCGGTGAAAATATCGTGTTGCAGATACAATAAATCTTGCTGAGGCATTGCACAATATTTTGCAAGTAAACATTGTTCCCAGGTATCGTACATGTTTACCGTACTTTAGATACGGTAGCTGTTTAGATTGTTTGCGAAATGAACCGTGTAACACGAGCACAAATGTCACTTGACGTTATTTGAAAAAATGCTGATGTATAGCGGTTCAAGAAAGATCTTTCTTTGTGTCGACACGGTGAGCAACTGTTCTATTTGACGTCGACCAACGGCACAGCCGGGGGTGTATCAGCAGGTACACGCAGGTGTTGTCCCTCCTCGTGCACCGACGTTGTACGTACAATAACAACAGAAAACTATATCAGTAATTATGAGAATCCAAAAATATTCTATCCTCGTACAGAAATTCATGGCTGCCAGACAGACTTATGGAATGAAAATATTTGATTCTACAATTTTACTTAATAATAATATTTTATTTCAACTAAATTGTGTCGTTTAAACTTTCAGTGCATTTTTGTAAAATATTAGTTACTCGATTTGGTCATACATTTTTTTCAAAAATGACAAAACGTATTACAAAACGCAATTTTCGTGTTTGTCCTTCGCGTGTCAACCGGTAATCTTGTGTCTTATATATAGTAGCGAGTATACATGGTATCTGCGTTTCGAAATTATTTTTCTGTCAAATAAACTATGGTAACCGTGTGTTTTTATGTGCACTTGTAAATATTTATTCATAAGGGGAAACGTTGGAAATTTGTTTGCATAGTAGCCATATCTGTAAAGAATGCAATGCAAAAATGAAAGAATATGAAAGGAGTACATTTAAAATAACGGAAGTTGTAGATTAAAATAATTTTGGAACTTAAAATGATTATGTTCATATTTTCTATGTTATCCACTTTTTTCCAAAAATATTTATTTTTCTTTGTAAAGTAATTAAAATAATTGTCAACAAATATTAGTTGTTAGCGAAATTGGTTAAACATCTTAAATTTATAAGGATTTAAAATCTTTTTCAAATTATATTTATATATAATTTATATTTTATGTCACATTATCACAGTCCTTAACATAAGTTGCAAGTAAATGTTCTTGTAGTTCTGGTGTAGCTTCAGTTGCCATGCATAATGTATGCTGTAAACAGCTTCCAATAAGTCTAAATTCTCTTTGTAGCTGTTGAAATTAATATTTGATTATACATTATGATTTATTGAATTTCCTCTATTTAATTATTATACCTTGGTGACTTTAGGCTCCCTTGCTCCTTTTGTTGGTATCTGTATGCTAGTGGTCTTCAATTTAATAACTTCATCTTCAACTACACCTTCTTCAATAGTTATAATGCCACGATTATGTGACAATAATAAAGACACTTTATTTGTATCAGGTATTATTCTCAAAAATCCCATTTCATAATGTATTGGTTGCTTGCTATCTGCATACCAACTTCTTGCAGTATAATTTAACATTGGTTGACCTATTGATTTGAAACTCATTTCCTCACAATATTTAAAAGACTTAATTGTTGGAAATTTACCAGAACCAGGCTTTATAGTTCTCCACGTACCATATAGCCAAGTTATTGGTTTGAGTGCCTCGTGCATTGGTAATTTTACATTCATATCTATTAAAACAAAAATTTGTTAAAATAGCTACATATATGTATATACTATAGTTTATCAAGATTAAAATTAAAAATAGTTAACATCATATAAGAAATCTGATTCATTCAAAAGTAAAATATATTTTGCCATGAAATATAACTTATTTAGAGAATATTGTCTAACTTGTCATATAACTAACCTGTACAAAGATAAAAACATATCCAACTATAAAAATAACGTATAAACTGTCTTTTTCACTGAACTTTGTCTAATTCTTATGTTATTCTTATTTATTGCTATAGTACTTTTGTATATTTTATTTTAAAGTAATAATAAATACAAATTTTTCAAAATTGAGTAAAATGAATAGAATTATTATAAATAAAAAGAAAAACATTTTTCCGAATAGTTATATAAATTTAAAGAAGACCGCGTCTACTGAATATCAATATGGCGACTGTAATTAACAAATTCGGGTGAATTATACCACATATATCGGTTTATGAATAAATACATTTTAATAGTTGTACGATAATGCAATTTTATTTACTAATTTGTATTACATCAATTATTAGTGACATTCAATAGTTTTTTATGTTACCTGAAGAACAGTTCAACATCGAGTATTGAAATGTGCGTACAGTTTGTGATGGTACTTAATAATTAATATTTAAAACGTCGATCAATAGATCATAACTCAATATATAGATACATATTTGTATATCAGTATTTAAATAATAAAGTAACATATATTTTAATAGTTTAATGTTCTATATATTTTCTGTTCGTGAGTTATAAAATTAATGTGCTGCAGAGCTTGAAGTGTTCACTTTTATTATCAAAAAGTGTGCTCATAATTTATTACATGTATCAAACAATTACATGTAATTTATTAAATATTATTGCAGTATTTTGATACCCTTATTTCTAAGTGACATTACATGTTTCAAGTATAAAACAAAAATATTATTTTTGTAGAACATTTGGTACAAATATACATTTTTTACACTGTTAGTATATTATTAAGTATATTAATCTAATGAATGTATGTAATCATACATACATTTACATACATAAATACAATTTTTCATGTGTAAATGTATATATATATATTATTTTGATAGAATCATGGCAATTTCAATCAATGAAATTTGTGAAAATACCAAACTGGCTCGTGAAATGGCATTAACTGGTAATTATGATACATCTGGAGTTTATTACCAAGGTGTTGTACAGCAAATCCATCGATTACTTGCAAGCATCGCAGATGCCACACGCAAAGCTAAATGGCAACTTGTCCAACATCAAATTGTTCAAGAATTTGAAAAAGTAAAGGCTACATCTAACACCTTACAACTTTTTAAAGTAGAAACCCATGGAGAGAGATTATTTGGTATTTTTATTATTATTGCTTATGACTAATTTTCATATGATAAAATCATTTATGGAAGTAAAATAGGAAAATTTAAATGTTTAGGTACTTCGTGTTTGTCATTTGAAGAACCTACAAGAGATCCAACCTTATGGACATATAATAATTCAGATACATCTTGGAGTCAAGCTCCAGTAAGAGATCCAGATGTATGGCCACCTTTAACACCAACAGAACAAAAGTATAATATATGTATATATATGTATTACTATTAACAGTGTTAATTTTTAAATGGAGCTTTGATACTAAAAATCTGATTATCTGGCATTATGATTTGAACAACAAATGACTATGAGTATCATAGTAAGATGTACTATTTCTTATGTTCACATACCTATAAATAGCAGAACATTGTTATACTCAGCTACAGACCTTTGGAAGTTATATGCCACATTTAGCTAAATGTTTTGTCCAGTTATCGCCCATTGTGTTAATATATAAAAATATGTTTTTAGAAACATAAGACCATTGAAAAATCAACCGAAACAACAAAATCGAACTAGCATACGAAAATCAGTTGCCACAGGGAAAAAACCAGACACCAAAACTGTTAAAAGAGATGACAAAAAGATGCCAAGAAAAGATGATGTAAATAAAGTTAGTTTATCCTTTCATCATAAGTAATTATACATGTGTAATATAATGATATCAGAGTACGTAAATATTGTTTGCAGGAAAAATCAGAAAACGAAAAAGTTGATATAGAAGTAGAAGAACGGAAATTTGAGCCATCTGGAAACGATAGAGATTTAGTAGACTTATTAGGTACTTACTGAAGTGAAAAATGTTTAAGAGATAATTTGAATAATTTTGAAGGACAAACATAATGTGCAACATTGTGTTCTGTATTGTCAAGGTCATTAGCATTTTTTATTATTTTATTATTACATTTTGAAGTAAGTGATAAGTACGAATTTGGATAAAGCAATAAAAAACAATAAATATCTGCTTTCATCCAAAAAAATATCATTGACCTTGACAACTTTGAAAACAATTATCTTGAAAAAAATATTGCACATCTTATTTCTTCTTCCAAAATACTTAAATGAATATATTTGGGGTTCTATGGAATGTTTTATGTATTTATAATATTGGATTTATATAGAAAGAGATATTGTTCAAAAGAATCCGAATATTCATTGGGATGATATAGCTGATTTGCATGAAGCAAAGCGATTATTAGAAGAAGCAGTTGTTCTTCCCATGTGGATGCCAGATTTCTTTAAAGTATGTATGTTCACAGTACATGCAATATCATATCATTGTATAAATTAACATTTTACGTTTAGGGAATTCGTCGTCCATGGAAAGGAGTACTTATGGTTGGACCACCAGGTACTGGGAAAACAATGCTTGCAAAAGCAGTAGCTACTGAATGTGGCACAACATTTTTTAATGTATCATCTTCTACCTTGACATCAAAGTATAGAGGAGAGTCTGAAAAACTTGTTCGCCTTCTTTTTGAAATGGCAAGTATGACTTGTAATAAAATATAACATTATTCTCACCAAAAATGAATTAATTTGATCAAAAATTATTATTTCTTATGTCTTCCAATAAAGCTATGGTATTTTTTAGTTTAGTACTTGACAAAATTGTTTATTTTATAATACTTTTTTTTTTATTTTTTTTATTTTTAAAATGATTTAACATTATATATAAATTTTCTACATGTACATATAAGTATATTTATACAGGCCAGATTTTATGCACCTAGCACTATATTCATAGACGAAATTGATTCCCTATGCTCTAGAAGAGGATCTGAATCTGAACATGAAGCTTCAAGACGAGTAAAGTCTGAACTTCTAGTTCAAATGGATGGTATAAGTTCAAACAGGTAGAAATATAGCATAAACTTATAAATTATGCACTGGTAAACATATCCAGTTATATGAATATATAAAAGCATAGTATACAATATAATATAAAATTCTTTAGCGAAGACCCAAGTAAAGTGGTGATGGTATTAGCAGCAACAAATTTTCCATGGGATATTGATGAAGCTCTTCGCAGACGTTTAGAGAAACGTATATATATACCACTACCAAATCGTGAGTTTCATAATAATTTATTTGTAAGTAGACATAAATTGTATATTACTTGCTCTTAATCTGCATGTATATGTTAAACAGATGAGGGCAGAGAAGCATTATTGAAAATTAATCTACGTGAAGTAAAAGTAGATTTTTCTGTAAATTTAGCAGATATTGCAAAGAAATTGGAAGGTTATTCTGGTGCAGATATTACAAATGTTTGCAGGTAAATTTACTTAAAACATAGCACGTTTAAAAGTGTTAAATATCGAATGTATTATATGAATTTTCTATAGAGATGCGTCCATGATGTCCATGCGAAGGAAAATTGCAGGATTAAAGCCAGATCAAATTAGACAACTGCCAAAAGAAGAATTAGATTTACCTGTATCTGCTTCAGATTTCGATGAAGCTGTAGAAAGGTGTAATAAGAGTGTTTCTCAAGAAGATTTAGAGAAGTATGAAAAATGGATGAGTGAATTTGGTTCATCCTGATAAAATTTTATTTAAAAAAAATATAATTACGTAACATTTTTTTGTTCTAATTAAAATTGTTTAAATTTTTCATTTATCAATACTAACATTTAATATACAAACGATCACTTCTTATGTAAATTAATCAGTATCTTAATTAATGGTTTCTTTAAAATGACATTCTTTGTTGTAGTGTATTGATTCATTTTTATTTTAACAAATTATTTTTTTTATATATCATTTCTTTTTTAAAATTAAAAATTTTTATTAACTCTGCTAACAAAAGTTTAAGATATGCGTACTAAAATGCCGCTGATTTATAAGTATTCATCTATAAAAGCTTAAAATAATAAAATATTTCTAAAACAATTATATAGGTAAATTATTGTTTAGTATTACTTATTATAAAAAATTAACAAACTTCATTAACTTTTTTAAATATTTTTTATTATACTTATCACAAAAATAATACTTATCTTTTTTATCATACATTCTTATAACTAATTTTAATATTTCATATATTACAAACTTTAATAAAAAATGTTTAAGTATTTTATTTATAATTCCGAGCAAATCAAATGAAATTATAAGGCTGTGTAAAATATGAATATTAAATCAAACGAGCACTACGAAATTTAATTGTACATGATAAATACGCTGTTATAATGACCTGCTTCGCTTCCAGAAATTATATTCAATTACGATTTATACAAATATAGAATAGAAAGTAAATAATTAAAGTTCAGAAACGTTACTGAAACTAATTCAGTCACTAAATGAAATTACAGAATTATTTAAAAAATTTTGAAAAAATATACAAATTACTAAAAAAGTTCTAGATTGGGTATTGTTTCTAATGAACAAGATATATCGGAAATGAACGAGATAAAGTCGATGTCAAACAATATATTAACTTCTAATCTAATATAAAAACTAATTTTTTATTACACTTTTATGGAACTTTTATCAAAAAATTAGAAAATTTGTTTGATCAAAATGGAATCAAACAAGATGTTATAGAATTTTGTTTACTTAATAATAATATTGTGAATGTATGTTTAAACATAATGTCTACTTAAATTATATTGTACATTGTATGATAGTAGTCATAATTGTCAGCACAAATTAAGGATATTATATAAGAAAAAAATGTAGTATGAAACATATTGTATTAAACAAGTGATATCTTATGGTAAAACATTTGTACTGTCAAAAATATTAAAAAATTAATAAAGTAAAACCACTAACTGTAAATGAATGTATCTCGAAATATATGTATATCATTCAAATAAAATAAAAGCAACTTCACATAATCTTTGTAGTTTTTTCTAAAATAAAGATTTGATAAATTACTACTACTGTTAATACTAAAGAGCTTGTAACCAGGTAAATATTTCTTTCAAAATATATTTTAATAATCTTGTAAAAATATAACTGTATAAGTATGCATTTACACGTCTTATACTAATTTAATTTATATCAATTTTAATGAACATTATGATTTTCTTAACATGTGAAAGATACCAATGAAATATACTAATGCATAACTTTATTACTAGATATTTTTTGGAGCACAGCCTTCTTTTCTCAATTGTTTGGTTTCTTCATCAATATTTTTTGAATCTTTTGGTGCTTTATAATTTGCAACATGATCAACTCTTATTGTTCTTCCTAAAATCTGAAATATATAATTATTACAATTAAACTATAGTGGTACCTCGAAATAGAGTATGCAAACAAGTTTATATGTAGAACAGTTTGTAAGTTGAGCTACCACCATGTATAATATTTAACTTGAATAGAGTAAATTATAATGGAAAATATGTGTATATACTTTTGTTCCATTAAAATTGTCAACGGCTAAAACCGTACTCCTTTGATCTTCATAACACAAAAATCCGTATCCTTTCTGTTTACCTGTATCCTTATCTCTAATTAAATTTATGTTTACTACTTCTCCATATCTAAGGAAATTTAATAGCATTATTATTTAGTAGATTAATGTACAGTATTAGCACATATTTATTTTGAATAGATAATTAAATAAGTAACTTACTGAGAGAATATAGTTACAATGTCCCCTTCTGTCAAATCGTATGGTAAACCACCAACAAAAATCCATGCACTATCTTTATATTGATCATGCCAAGATGTTTTACTATTTCTCAGTAAATCTTGTTCGCCCAACTTCTGAATATTTTTTACATTTCTAAAAACATTTTATAACAATTTTTGTTAAAAGAAATGAAATACCATAAAATAATCTCATTAACGTTTTGTAATTAAAATAATATACTCACGTTAACGGATTCATTATATACTATATAACCAATTTATGCTATACGTAACAATTTTTAGTACTCTGTTTATATACATATATTAATTATTCAGATGAAACTAGTACCTAAGAAAATTATTACTGTTCAGTCACTGTATAAATACGAACTGTCACAACAAAATCACGTGGCTTTGGTATGGTTTTAAACAAAAGAATTATGTGATATAGATGGATAACTTTTATTCAATTCTCGATCACTATAACTTACAACGCCGCTCTGTGTTGTGATTTATAACTAAATATTGATAGCGGCAAAATATGAGTTCTATATTTTGTAACTACATTATTTTTTTATCATTTTTTACTTATTCATTATCTATAATTGCTACATTGTTTAATTGCATCACTTAATTGATAATTACCTTGTTATCTTTTAAGTAATTGACATGTGAAAACCATTGTAATTATTACGGCATATAGCTACTTCTTAGATAGACTGCAAATTACGAATAATATGGATAAAATAAATTTTACATGTAGTAACAAAACTAATTTAATTTATTAAATAAAATTACAAAGTGTATATTATTTGTTTAAAAAACATATACAGATCAGAGCAGAACTGCAATTGGAAAAACATTGCAAATAATAGTTAGACATGTATTTATCACACTAATTTTAAGTTAAAAGTCTGTTACATAAAAATATGTACCGAAAGTTGAAAAGGCTGGTGAAAAAGTAATACCAGTTTATTATGATATTAATATCATATTTTCTGTAATCAGTGATTGCTCTCCAAAGTTTTTATGGTTCTATTTCATCATTCTGTAAACTTTTTAATTTTGAATTAATTTGTAACAATAATTATAAATTTAATTAATTTATACAATTAATTAGTTAATAAAGAATTTGTCTAACGATAACTAAAAACCGCCACTACCCCATCTACCAACCCAATCAAAAGTTTTGAATTTGATTTACTTGTAAAAATGTGAGTAACACACCTTATACACTACCTACATGCAAAATTTGAGCTTAATCGATGACACAACGTCGTAGGATCTACTTATAAATAATTTTTTTTTTAACTTTGCACTAGGTTTATGTAAGTGAGACCTATTGACAGTGGATAAGGTATACTTGTGCTTGATTGTACTTTCGTTAAATAAAAGTCACTAATCTATTGTTAAATATTGAAAATGTATATTCAAAAATAAATAAGTTTTTATTTTATTTTAGTCATTGATGTACTCGTACATGTATAACATGTTTTGGTTTTCATGTAAGTTCAGATTGTATTACTCACTTTCGAATAATCTCACTTACATGTTATCTGAAGAGCGAAATGTAATTTTACATTTACATTATTTCAGTTACTTATTTAGACCTTAAATTGGTAAAGGATTATAATTACATAGTGTTTCTATACGATCATAAATTACATACAGTGTTTCAACATTTTGTAAGTATGGAACAGTTTTTCATAATTGGCTTTGTTTTTGAGAATATTGGATTCAAATGTTGATCAAAACATAAATTGAAGTAAAATAATGGTAACTTTATCTGTGGTAAAGATCAAATTCTGCTTATTCCAATATACTTTCTGGGTATATTCATGTTTATTTTTTAATAAAGTGTATATATGACGTTTCCTGAACTATAAAAAAATGCTACTCTGTATTTTCAATTCATCTTTTGAGGTAGAACGATCACCCTTCACATTGTGCCATCTGTTATGAAACACTCTGTATACGTTCTTTAATTTGCCATGAAAATTATAACTACTTCCAAGAAATTAAATGTAAACATAATATAGAATAATTGTTTTTTTTTTAATATTTTTAAAAATCGCGATTGAATTATATTATGATATTAAAATTTCATACGTGTCAATCTCTCGTCGTTAAGGTACCAGTACAAATCTCGTATTTTTTACATGTTTCTGGCACCAGTAAGATATATGTACCTGAACAACTATTTATTTATACCGTTTCTGCACCAATATAGTCTTAGGTAAATCTTATTTGCATGTTGTGTTAATTTTAATAAAATAACACGAAGAAACATTAAATAATACTTCTTGACTACTGTTGCACAAATCAGTCACGCATATCCTAGCAGGCATCACAAATGTTTCTTCATTGCGCGCTTGACACAATTAAGGGCCTAAACTGAATGCCTACTACAATAAAATTTTGTCTTTAAAATTGCAGAAAAATAAATTAATATAATTAAGAACGACTAAAATCACTTTGTAACTAACTTAAATTATTTTTAAGTATAATGAGTCATATTTCACTTTGCCATGTTCAATTATAAGATACTTTGCATAACAATCTCAAAGTATCGATATTAAATTGTATCGACACAACTCTGTTTATAATAAAATACTAAATTGTACACGATTATACTTCAAACTTTATACCCTTTCTTACCTTATATGATAATCATATTATATAGATACACGTTGACTTCGACGTCACAGTGAACACGTTAACACAATTTTTTCTTTTCCATTTTCTATTTAATCCTATATTTGTTAATATTCAGTAAGGAGATCTCTAATATCTTTACAAAGAGCTGTAAAGTCTGGCCTCTGATGGCTTTGCCAATGCCAACAAGGATACATGATTTTTACATAAATAGCTTGTGGACAAGTGGAAGGACAAGGAAGACGAGTGCCTCTTTCTAATGCAGCTAATAATTCTGTGCTTCCTTTTTCCTGTTCATTTTGTAGACGTTCCGTACTTGAATCGACGCCAGGTAAACGTGGTTCTTCACCAAAACCAAATGTTTCATACATTGTCACACCAAAAGACCAAACATCCGATCGAGTAGAAAATTTTCCATCCCTAATGCTTTCAGGAGCATACCTAAACAATGAATGTTCTTTAAATTCGACTTTATAATTAACTAAATTTGAATTAATTCAATTTAACAAAATACAAACTGCATTACCATTGTATATTTTTAAATGTTATATTAATATTGCATTCGTTATATTTACCATTTAATAGGAAGTCCACGATCTGTTTGCAAAATATAATAATCGTTCTTTCCCGTCACTTGGGCCAGCCCAAAATCACTAATTTTAACTTTATTTTCATCAGCAACTAAGATATTTCTCGCAGCTAGATCTCTGTGAACAATGCTCTTACTACCCAAATAATCCATTCCTGTTGCAATATCTAAAGCAAAACCTAGCAATCTCCTATGCGTCAGTTCTTGTTTATGAATGGCTAGATAACTTTGCAGTGAACCATGTTTCACATATTCCATTACTAAACAGACTTCTGGCTCCGATATTACTCCAAGAATTTCCACTACATTCGGGTGTTTCAGGGTCTAAATTACATTTTAAAGATAGACTATAGTATAATTAAAATAAATATTAGACAATGTTCTGTAGTACTTTAAATACCTTCATTATGTCAATTTCTCTTTCAAAATCTCGTATATCAGCTTCGAGTGCTCTAGTTTTTAATTTCTTTATAGCAACTTGTTGCGGTTCTATGTCCTTTCCATTTTCTCTTTCAAGAGTTCCCCTATAAACTTCTCCATAAAAACCTTGACCAATTCTGCCTTGTAAAATTACATTGCAATCTATATCTAATTCGTATATGCCTGTCAATTGACCTAAAGAACCATCGCTACTTCCTCTAGAACCACAATCGTCTGCTCCTGGTTCATTCCTTCCTATTACCTAATATTATAAAATCTTTTTTACTGTTGCAAGTCTTGTAAATTATTATAACTAGCACATATAAGTACAATTTTATAAATTTACAAATAAAACAATCATATTTAACGTAATATTACAAGTATATATAGTACATACAACAGTAGATATTACCTCGCCCAAGTCACCGTGATGTCCAATTCGAAGAGCTTGAGTGGAGTGTTCAATACGATTCATATTAGAAATCCTAGTTTGAGAAATTGAGCAACCTTCTGATTCTCGTCTAGCACTAGATAACCAATCTAAATACGCAGAAAGGTCTTCAGTACTACCTATGTAATTTTCACTAGTATTCATTAAACATTGCATACCTAGAATACAAATAAAATAGTTATAAAATAAGTTCGAGTTCGAGTTCGAATTTAACAATTTACTACGCTAATTCATTAATGCATATGTCAAAAAGAATATAAAAATAATCTTAAATACAATTAAGGAACAGTTGTATCTTACTATCATCCGTATCATTCCAGGGAAGGCTTGTATTTTCAGTAAATAGACTACTAGACCTTGAATCACTGTTTATTGATCTACTATCAGTATTATCTGAATGATCTTCATCAAGCTTTTTTGATTCAGAGTTGAATAATTTAGGAAAAGCAGTTGTATAAGCATGACTTCGGCGAGAATTGTAGACTTGATATAAAATTTGATTTATATCTCTCATAATTGCTTGTGGCTGTTTTCTAGAACCACTCGAATCTCCCCAACAATCTAACATTAATCTATAGACTTCTGTGGGACAAGAGTTTGGAATTGGTAAACGCTTCCCAGATTCGTAGTACCTTTTCATAATAGCAGCATTCCGAAAGTCTAATAATGTAGCTCCTCTAAAATAAAATAATATTTAATTTAAAATACTACATTAAATGTAATTATCTACTGCAATATAAACATTCCATTATTTGAAATATATATGATTTGATAAATATTGAAAAACACCTTCTAATTAAAACATGAATCGAATGATATTACCTAGCAAAAATTTGCCAAATCGTTGTTCCAACAGCCCAAACATCTGCACGGAAACTGTGTCTAGCTAGGTCTGGATCATTATAAGTTTCAGGAGGTAACCAATGAATATCTGTTTCCGTATATACAAATAATCCCGGGTCAGCTAGTTTTACTACGAAACTGTTATTAGTGTGAGCGTGTACTAGGAGCTTATTGCATCTAATGTTGCCGTGAACTACACCATTTTCTTCGAGGTGCCAAAGCGCAGTAGCTAAACAAGCTGTTGCTTCTACCATGTCTACAGTTTTAATAGTTTGAGAGGAAGAACTACGTAAATATTCATCAAGAGGACCAAGTCGTACCAATTCCAAAACCATTCCAATCGATGGTGTGACTGTTAATCCATATAATCTGAAGAAATATACATACTTATTAATTTTCTTATATAATCAACGGTAATGTAACCATATCTCAACATAATGAATATTTTCATATTTTTAGACTTAAGACGAACCGTACCAGGTTCATCAAATGACCGGATTAAAAATTCTGTTTTGTTTTTGTTTCCACTAAGAAAAATGTATCATCTAACTTTTCTACTTTTATTTTGTGGCCAGTTATTTAACTGGTGTTAGTAAGAATAATTATAAGTGTCGGACGGTTAGTGTTAATAAAAATATATCCAACGAACAATTTAATATTTATTTATGAATTAAAACGTGAACGAGAATGTAACGCGTGTGAGAAGAAGATTTTGTACACCTAACATAGCCAAGATTTTTAAGTGTATAACCGCGTCAGAATTTACCTTTATGACCTTGTAAAGTACCTATACATACATGGAAAATCATATTGAAAATACATTTTCCATTACCTTGCAAGTGTTCCAGACCGTAATTGACACCACTTTCCAGCAAGTTCCAAAAATTCTTTTGTATAATTAGCTTCTTCTTCCTGTTTTAAAATTTTTAGTGCGACCTCTAATTTTTTTCCTTTAGTTAATCTCCAAATTCCTCTATGAAGGGCCGTTGGTGAATAATGTTGAGTTTCTCTTAAAAAAAGTTTATAAATTTCAAGTTGATTTCGTGGTACACAACGCGGTCCAGTTTCCAAAACTGATGCAACAATTTCTTCATCAGCTGCTACTTCACTGACTGCACTTTCAGGAGCGCAAAGCAGTAATGATGATTTATCTAAAACATAATTAAAGAAAACAGCATAGTGTTATTCTTATACTTCTCATTTATATTTATTAAATTCTTAATTTTATTTTTAATTGTAAATAGTTAAAATAGTATTACATTAATAGTAAATATTAATTTTATTTACCATATTCTGATGGTGGTAAACATTCTGAGAGATATGAACTTCCTTCGGTATCTTTAAAAGATGCAACACATTGAGCCAACGAATTATATTGGCCAGAAATACCGGTAATAATAAAGTCATCCGATGAAACTCGCTCTTCTATCCTTTTCGTAAACAATTTTCCTTCCTTATTACACGCATCTAAATAGAATACATTGTATTCTGTTTCACTTTCCCTAAGTAAGTAAGAGCCAGGTTTATTGGCACGTTTTTGCTGAAGTTTCGCATATGAGAATTCTTGCCTAAAATATATCATTTTTGGATTATTTTGCTTATACCTTTTCAAGTCATTTAACTGTTAAGTATTTTAATGTTATAATAGTGTAATATGACTTCAGTGTGCAAATATTTTAAGAAATAGTAACAAATTTCATGTATTAAAATAAAATGCACCTATTAAAATATTTCACAACATGAAAACATATTTATTTAAACATTGAATATTTGCAAACCTAAAATCAGAATGTAATTATAAATTTAAAAATGCAAACAATATTAATATGAATCTTACCCAACTGGACCATGACATTTGAGTTTATGCAGTCTTTCTAAAGTAGGAGTAACAATTTCACCGCATAAATTAAATGTCCATTTTACCGCTAATCGATAATAGCCATCCAAGGCAGAAACAAAGGACATTAAATGTGCATTGTTTGTAAATTTTAAATACGATGGTATACCATTTTTCCTTGAAATTTCTACTGTATTGTCTTGTCTGAAACATAATGAATACAATAAATTTCTGCTTACGCAAGATTTTTTAATAAATTAATACAAGTGAGTTTAAAAGATTGTTTCTAATAATTATTCCTAATAATAAAAATAATTATTTGCTTGAATAAAATTATGTAATTAAAATCTTCACCTTGATGTACATGTATATTATATATATTACCTTATAGAAACAAAACACAAATCTTCAATTGCGCATAATGTAGTCCATACAGTAGCAACAGTTTCACAGTACTTGACTGCGTCTACATTAACTCTCAACATTACTTTTGTTGGAGGATTTTGAAGACCTCTATCCATCAACACTTCATATTCTTCATATGGATAGTTCGGCGCCATGCATTCAAATTGCTTAAGGTATTGTTCTTTAACATAACTTGCATCATATCCAGAAATCTTACGGAGAGCATTATGTATTGGTTTTTTAATGAAAAATGCATGACGTTTTATGCATTCCTTAGGAATATATTTTCTATATTCTGACTCCACTGTTTCTCTGGGTACTCTTTTTTCTAACATTACTCTGTGAAAAATATTATGGAAACTTATGTTGATGACTCGTATAAAGAAAAATAATTTATTCATGTACATTTATGCTATGTATACTATATAATTTAATGGTAACTTAAAAATATTAAATTATTTTAAACTAGTTACATACCTATACATATCGCAAACACCAAGTCCAATAAGTTCTTGTTTATGTCTTTCATAAACAATGTCTGGTACTTTATTATCCATAACATCTGAGCGTGCTTGTTGAAAGTAATAGTCATAGGCATTTGTATCTATTTGCTGTAATCTACGTAAACTCGAAGGTTTAAATCTAAGTCTTAGATCAAATTTATTTTTATTTTTCGATTCTAAACGATGTGATAATGGATACCAAAGTTTTGTATAATGATTCCTAAGCGCAAAAAGATGTCTGGCAACTGGTCCTACTCCTACAGATTTACAGACCTATAAATTGATATATCATATGTATATTTTATATTTGAGAAATTATGTAATCAATATCAATTGCAGTCAAAAGAAACATAAAATATTCTTAACTTTAACTTCATAGTATATGCAAGTTATTTAAGTAAAAGTATATAAAATATTCATCTAAAATTAGAAAATGTACATTAAATATACATTTGCATTAGATGTAAATTACATTGATTACATTAAATTTAAAATTATTATTTAGTTAAATTTACTTTAGGTCTACTAAAATCTTATTTAAAAACTCGAAGGTAAAACATCATATGATTAAATTCTGTGACAATTTATGAAAAATTGAAATATCAAGTGTTTATGATATTTTTCTTATAATATCTTAAAAGTAATATATCTTCTTCCATCCTCAAAAATGTCGAAATAAAATTGAAATTTCATTCTAAAATAGTATGATTATACAGATAAACACGAGTAGCTCTTGAAATTCATTTACCTTGATACAAAGATCCTCAATTGTTTGACCATACTTAATTACAACTGTCAATTCTTTTTCTTCGTTTGCAACATAAACGGTCGCTGATCGATCGTTTTCCATTGTTGGAACAAGTGCACGCTCTTTTCACATTTTGTTATTTGGATTATAAACCTAATTGTGTTTTAATGGTTGTTTATTTACAACGCGAGCCCTCAGTAGTGCGCATGTCACTAAGAAACATAAAGTGCATACATTGATCACAGATTAGGTCAGAGGTGTCTAACTCAATCCCCTCAGGCTAGTAACTCGAAAACAGCGTTCCCCCATCAGCTCTACTGAGAGCTGTTCGAAACCACAGACAAGGTATAAGATAGATGTAACATGCAATGTAAAATTTTGTCACAAGGTCTCGGGGGTCCTAGGACGCCTTTATCATTTTTATGTCACACCCTGTCATATCGACTAAGGCTGGTTTTGCATGACAGCGCTATAAGTGACAGGAATAAGAATCAAAACTATTGAAATTTTAAGTGACAATCAGTTCAGTATTGCCGACATGAAAAATTTATTCATTGAATTGAACGTCGCGACGTAACGTTTCAGCAATAAAGTTGATTTTCTAATTGAATGGTAAAAATATTACAAAATTTTCTGATCTTCGACTTTTTTTGTTCTTAATCGTTGTTTTATAAGGTATTGTGACTGCAATGTAATTATGAAGCAGAAATTGAAGAACCCATCATATTTAGTTTTTCATTTTATTTTCATGATGATAAAACATGTATTATTTACATACAATTATGAATTAGGGTTAGCATTTGGTCCACGTCGTCGGCCGTAAGTTTGAACAACATTGACAAATCGTCGATTGTACTGAATTCGCCTCTTAGCCCTGCCAGTTTTCTTTTTACTCTTTTCTTGTTTCTCAACCTACATAATAAATGAGAATATTGAATGTAAGATAAACAAATGTAATACAACGAAATATTAAAACGCATAATTGTTAAGATTTCTACTAAAAAAAGTTCTTTAAGAATTTTACATAAAGTTGTGTTTTAATGTAATTAAATAACATTTATATTACATGAATTTAGAGAGAAAGAATCGCCAATAGTCTGAATATTTTACTTGGTCATAGTAGTGTTCCGAAAAGCGAAAGAACCGAATTTGAACTTCTGATTTGAAACTAAATCGACTGATTCTTTTTTTTTATAAAACATTTTTTTAAAAGCAGTTAAATTAAATTATATCCAAACTATTCAAAGGTATTTGATAACATCATGCTAAAATGGATGTTGCATTACCTTTGGGGTTTGGGCTTTTACTTTTCCAGCACGTGCTAAAGATCCATGGACTTTACCTAAAAAGTTTTAATAATTTTATTAGTACTGTTATTACTATTTCATGTAAATAACGCTTCACTAACAATTCATGTATAATAGTTAATATACAGGAAATACAAATCAAATTAATGTGACATGAGTGTAGTAAGCAGATGATAAATTATAAAAACAAAAAACTTACCACCAGGGAGAGGGACTGTCAATTCTAAATTTTTCGATGCAAGTTCCCCAACTAAAGTTTCATTTGTCAAAAGAAGTCCAGAACAATATAGATTAAATTCTACATCTGAAACACCTTCCAACTGTAGAATTTTATTCTGTAAAATAGATGTCAGAAGTTTGTGTTAAAATATATTTAATAATGAACTTTTACATATTTGATAATGATTAAAGGACTAAATAAGAATTTATTTTAAAAAGATATTTGTTGACAAATATCGCGAATGGCAATCAAAAAAGATTTATTTGATCACCAGCTCATAAGTTTGTACTTTGATATTGCGTTGATGCTCGTCCTCAAGGCAGAATGTGCTGTCTCAAAGTTATCTATGCAACGCAATGAATGTATATGGTTCTGGCCAAAATTATACATTATTACTTATTCAATAAATTTATACAGTTAGAATTATAAAATTAATTCTTGAAAAAGAATATACTTCTTAAAAGCAAAATATAAAATGAACTAAAAATGAAAAATTAAATTGAACAATGAACTAATTTCTATTAAATCAGTGTAATTAAAGTATTTCTTGATTTTTAGAACATACCTTCAATTCTGCTATAGTCTCATTTTCATGTGACTCAACAACAGTTGTGTTTTCACCCCTAATGAATAACTGCATGTTTGCTCTGAAAATTCAAAAAATTTAATAAGCATTAATAAGTAAAAATATTAATACATAATATTACTCTTGTAACTGCAAATTGAATTTAATAAATAAAATATAGTATTTTATTTTTATTTGTACTCGCAATATAAATCACTCCTTTCTTTTTATTCCGTGTTAAAAAAATGTTTTAAATTTGAATGGCTTACTTTCCATATAACTCTTCTTTGAACACTGAAGAAATTGATGCTCACCTGAATGTTCTTTATATATTTTTAATTATTATGTGATTCACTATAATTATCTTTGATTTGTTACACTGATAATTCTTTATCACAGATTAATAATATTCTTTTACTTCTACAAAATCATTTGATTTCATATCTCTCATTTCAAACAATTTTATGAACGGTATCACTGTTGGAATTGTTCAATACAATTATTTTTTTCATTTCCTAACCGTATCTTCTTTTAATCAG